AAACCAATTGGTTATCCCATGTCAATCACCCCAGAAACCATGGCCATTGACAGATAGTTGGGACCGTAGAATTGGGGTACTTAATATGAATTCAAGATTAATTATCCTAATTGGGGTTAGTTTAATTCCAATTCTGGTTAATCAAATTATGTTTAATATCCTCAAATTTGCAAAGATAAAAGTGGCAAAGTCTCGCCGGCAGTACGCTGGCCAGTTGCAGACTCCAACTCACCTGGTTGCTATGTGGTCAAAGTGACCCTTGGGGATTCACGAAAAGAAATACCACATAAATTGCAAGTTCTTCATATTTAGTCCATATTATTTTTGTCACGGTATATATTGACCTCTTAAAAATTACCCGAAGGCAGGAAAATGCGTATATTGAAGGGTATGGTTGACTGGTAAAGCACTTATAAGTCAGTACTGGCATCTCCACTTTGTTTTTTATTCCATTTCACTAGCAATACCATCTAATTTTCAGTCGATACTGAAATAAACAATCCCAAAACCTAAATATATTGCTTTCGGAACCCTGTTAAATTTGACCTTACATGTGTGGAATTTACTGCGGAACCCTATTGAACTGACTTGGCGTTATACCAATGCCGCCGAGATTTTCGCCGGAACCTTCTGCGGAACCCCATTAAATTGATGTGGACAAGCAGAAACTCGCGATAAGGGCGACGATGAGGATAAGGAAGATAAGTAGTAGGAATAGTTGGAAAAGAGGAAGAGCAGGATGATGTAAAGGAAGCAAAGAAGGGAAAGGGCAAAAATTGGGAATGGGTATTGACAGGTGCTATGGGCGGCCCGCTATCGCGGAATATTGGGGCGTATTGAGATCTTTGCGAACGCAAAATTGGCAGCTCCAATTTGGAAGGAAGGTACAGAAGCAAAAAGGGATGGATGGGTACCGCATCGTTTGACGTGCGATGCTGGTCGCCAAGTATATAGATTGCTCTCAGCTCACGCTGAAAATAATTGATTCAATCATAAATAGATATAAGAAGTATTTTCTTGCGAAAATTCGGATAATACGAATCATTTCCAAAATTCAATTAAAAAGTGTCATCATTATAAGATATTTAAATAATTTGACTATTTTCTTGGCAACAGCGGCCGGTTTCTAGAAATTTTACCTTCATCAAGATAATTCTCGAGGAGTATGAGAGTTTGAATAGCTGCCAATTCGCTGATTGCCGTCATGTATCCATCCAGAAGATTGTAGTATCTTTCTGATTGAGATTTCCCTTTGATATTCCCTGCGATTCCCAATAATTCATTGGGGCAGTCCTACGAATAGTTTACCAATCTTCATAATTGTTGGATTGTGGCTACATCCGGTACAAAGAAATGAAGGTAAGTACCGCAATATTTTTGTATTTCAGATATCAATTTAAGATTGTACATCTTATAAATGTCCATCCAAGGCACACAACCTCATCTGGACTTTCGCGTCCCTTTTAAAGCAGCGCGAAAAGTGCAAAAGGTTGCATAAAGCCCTACCCATCGCTCAAATATCAAAAATACACCAGAAAATATAAAAATAGCACCGTATTAGCAAATATCTGTTTTAACA